AGTTTGTGTTCGCTCAGTTTATGAGGTGATACCTGATCATAAATGATATCTGTGATTTTACTGTCCCAAAAAAATCAACCTCAGGCCGCCTTCATATGGAAATCCTCTTGAAGACATTTCAGCGAATGTTACGTTTTAGATCTATGAACTACTGTGAAACTGTATGAGCTGTTTAATGGCTGACCGCGCTTCCCTGGTTCATGCCGCAGAGTTTATGAAAGAGAAATTTGTAGGACGATGAAAGGTTTTCGAACAAATAAAAATTGAAAGCCGGAAATACCTCATTACAGCAAAGAACACATTGTTGTTGATTTCGGATTTTTGTTGAATACAAACAAACGTGGACAAATCTTTACTGCAGCAAAGTGAGTGGTGTGTTCTGGTCAATTAGAACATGAAATATCGCAATTAATGACCACTTCCCTGAGACGAGCCGGTTTTACGAGTGAATTAGACGGACGGCATATAGTAAGGCAGTCAGTCAGTCATTTGACTCGATTAACAACAAACAAATTTTTGACAGCAATTCACTCAAATCATCTGTTGCGATCAATCGATTTCATACCTATTAAGTTTCCTTGGTGAAACACACAACATCTGATGTTGTCTTCAGTAAATGTTGAAGATGCTTTCGCAATCTCCTAGGAGATAATGTAAGATTTCTTCGTAATCCAACAACAAATGACTCTTACAATTAGGGAAAAATTCCTCGATGAACAAACAATTTGAAATGATTTTCTTGGATCGTTAATGTTAAATGGGTGTTTCATCGGCAGAATACTCTCTCAACTGCGCTAAACTGTAACCCGTTGGATGCACTGACCTTCGAGTCATTAAATTTTCTGACGCTTTTCCATCTGAATGCGGTATTTTTTCTCCATGCCACCTTAATTAAACGAGAAAAGTGGATGCCTGTTGATTGATAAGATGAAAAGCAACGTCGTTAAATAGGCGAGATGGCCGAGCGGTCTAAGGCGCTGGTTTAAGGCACCAGTCTCTTCGGAGGCGTGGGTTCGAATCCCACTCTCGTCACAAGCATTTTTCTTCCTGATCGAAAATTTTTCTGGTACATCGTTCGAAGTAAAACATTTTTGGATTCTGATGGATAGTATTTGTATCTAGATCATTTTTTTCACAAAGAGGCACCTTCATGAAATAATTGAACACTGAAGATGAGATGTTTATCGTAATGAGTTCAGATATAACCATTTGTCATTCATCGTTCCAACAGCAATCAATCAATCTAAAGACACAGTCAATCAAAAGATAAGAGTGACGTGAATTTTGCTTATCACTGCAACGTTAAATGTCTCTATTCTTAATTTTTACTGCAGAATTTGGTGTTCATTTGAGCGACATTGAGCGCATTCGTTACAGTTCATCTGAACTTTCAAGTAAAGCATAAATATTGGGAATGCTAACTTTCTCGACACTCTCGACTGTTCATGTTCTCGGAAACCAATAGGTGCGTAATAACGTGGCGAGATGGCCGAGCGGTCCAAGGCGCTGGTTTTAGGCACCAGTCTCTTCGGAGGCGTGGGTTCGAATCCCACTCTCGTCATCCTTTTTGCCCGCACAAAGCAGCGTTACTGCCGAAATCATATGTTTCACGCTCACTCTTCCATTTATTTTATCATGGAAACGCTTAGCTGCATGCTGCTCGGCCATTTCATAAAAAGACAAAAATGTCTACAATTTCATCGAAATCAAAAACTATTCATTCACCTTCTCTGAAGGGCCCTTAATGAAGTCTTTAATGAAACTGCAATTGTATTCACTACACCTCCAAAAGGTCGTCATGTTTATGTCGGCTTAAAAGGGAACACATTATTTGGCTCAGATATTCGTATTCAATCAAATTATTAAGATTATTCGTGTCCCCAGTCGAAAATCGCTTTGCTTCAGATTTTTTAAGATAAAAAGAGACTTCTGTTAACGACACATTATCCATGTCTGTCCAATTCACACTCATACCATTCACATATAATCAGATTTCACACAGTACATGGATGAAATTCTATCGAATTCCAATAGATGATGCTCTTATCCACATCAATACTCAAATTTG